GCAATCCAAAACGCCCCCAGGCCGGTGAGTAAGAAGGAGCTCCAATCCTTTTTAGGACTCCTGAATTTTTATCATGCGTTTTTACCGCATAAGGCATCAGTGGCGGCCCCTTTGCACGCGCTTTTGCACAAGGAGGCAAAATGGAAGTGGGGGCAGGCCGAGGAAAAGGCTTTTGTGGGAGTCAAGGAGCTGCTGACATCTAATGCCGTACTCACGCATTATGATGAACACAAGCTCCTGGTGTTAGCTGCTGACGCTTCACCTTTTGGAGTAGGCGCAGTTTTAAGCCATCTGATGCCTGATGGGAGCGAAGCGCCTATCGCTTTTTATTCTAGATCACTATCTGCGGCAGAGCGGAACTATGCCCAGATAGACAAGGAGGGTCTGGCGTTGGTAGCGGCTGTCAAAAAGTTCCATGATTTTATTTTTGGCAGACGATTTTTGCTGGTCACTGACCACAAGCCGCTACTGGGGATTTTTGCGCCCGATAAGCAATTGCCAAACATCATGTCCCCACGCATGCTTAGATGGGCGATATTTTTGCAGGCTTATGATTTTGACTTAGAGCACCGGCCTGGGAAAGCGATTGGGCATGCGGATGCCCTCAGCCGGTGCCCGGTGCCGGACATTGGCGCAGACCCTGCCCCCGCCTGTGAGGTCTTGGCAATTGAGGAGCTTCCTCGACCCCCGGTATCATCCAGGGACATTGCAGCACACACGGCCAAGGATAGCGTGCTGTCCCGAGTATTAAACTGGGTTTGGAGGGGGTGGCCGGTTGGAAGCGTTGAACCGGAGTTCGGCCCTTACAAAAGCCGTCAAAATGAACTATCCATTTCTAAGGGCTGTGTATTATGGGGGAACAGGGTGGTGGTTCCTGACAAACTCAGGACGAGAGTGTTAGAGTCGCTGCACGAGGGTCACCCCGGTATGGTACACACCAAAGCGTTGGCCAGAGGGTATGTCTGGTGGCCGGGGCTGGACAAAGAGATCGAAGAATGGGTACGAGGGTGTCCCAAATGCCAGCAAGTCAGACCCGATCCCCCACAAGCTACACCCCAAGGCTGGGAGTCATCTGGTAAACCCTGGGCCAGATTGCATATAGATTTTGCTGGCCCTCTCCAAGGGCAAATGTTCCTAATTGTGGTGGACGCTATGTCCAAATGGCTGGAGGTCGTGCATATGAAATCGACCACATCACTTGCTGTGATCCATGCGCTCCGCCGACTTTTTGCCACCCACGGGTTGCCTGACGTCATCGTCAGTGACAACGGGCCTCAATTTGTGTCTGAGGAATTTAGGCTCTTCCTCACGAGTAATGGCATACGCCAAATGACTTCGGCCCCTTTCCATCCGGCATCTAATGGCCAAGCCGAACGGATGGTCAGGACGGCCAAAGAGGCCCTGGGTAAAATGGACGAAGGGGACTGGAGCCAGAGGCTGGGCTCCTTTCTTTTGCTGCAGCACACCACCCCCTGTAGTGCTACAGGCCGTAGTCCGGCCGAATTGTTAATGGGGCGGAGACTCACGACCCGTTTGAACCGAATGCACCCAGACCTCACTGAAGAGCAATCCGAGCGTACCACGGCGCAACCGAAGGTGCGCATGTTTGAAAAAGGGGACAAGGTTTTCGCACGAAATTATGCAAACGGGCACTTATGGCTTCCTGGGGTTATATCCGACTCTGTGGGTACTCGAATGTATGTGGTGCAGTTAGCTGACTTTGTGCCTGAACCAGGCTGTATGGAACCACACACTGACCCACAGCCTTGTACGCCCATGGAGCCTGCCCCGCTTCGCAGGTCCCAGCGTTCGCGGCAAATGCCGACTTATCTGAAGGACTATGATTGTAATACAGTTTGTGGAATAGCTGATGTACAAATGAATGACTTGACTGTATGTAAATAATAAAAACAAATGGGATGATGACTTAACTTAGGGGGGAGGAATTGTAATGTATTAGAATGATTACATGAATCACCTCATTAGACTCCCATGTTAAGCTTCGAGCCAAGCCAGGGCTCCTCTGACCGAACTTCCTATTGGTCGCTTTGTAACAGCGACCAATCAGAACAGTACTATTCCCTGGGAGGGAAAGATTCCCATTGGTCCTTAACTGAGCAATCTCATTGGTTGTTATTTGTAAATAGGCGTGGCTACATTAGCCCGGTTATGTTTAAAAGGAGCATAGCTCCCACAGTTTGTTGTTCTGGTTTCTTACTGAGTTGAGTGCTTGTTCGTTACTTCCAATAAAGCTGAATCACTAGCTGAATCACTCTAAGAGTCCTTTGTTAGCGCGATCTAACAACTTCAGTGGGGCACAATGCCATCGAGTCCACCTGCATCCATTTCCTCCCGGGGAACTGATCTCTGCAGTCTGGAGATGAGCTGCAATTCCGGGAGATCCCTCGACCCCACCTGGAGGCTGGTCAGAAGCACGCTGATAATCTGTATTGATACTACAAAACACCCAAAGGTGTCGGGTTCGGATCCCGCCCTCAAGCCCACTGCAGGGACCTTTTGTGGCTCTGCACAAAGCAGCCAAGGAGCTCTCTCTGATGCAGGAGGAGGGGGGGCAAGGTGGGAACTGGGGAGGGGGGGCTCTCTCTCTCACCCACGACTGCTTCCCTCCTCCCTTCCCGCCTGCAGAGGGTCTTGCATTGCAGCCCCCAACTCATATCCACACACACACACACCCCCAAAGCCCCTTTGAGCTCACCAGATTCACTCCCGGCCATTCAAGCAGCAGCCCAAAAAACGCAGAGGCGGTTTTCTTGTAAAGGGCGGAGGAGGAATTGGCTGCCCCTCGTCTCTCCCTTCCTCCTCATTTGCCTGTCTAGGACCGCAGACTCCCTGGCTTTAACTCTTGGAGAGCGTCTCAACAGTTGGCGGGACCGGAGGGGCCAAAGGAGCCTAGGAGGAAAGGCAGGCGACAAATGTCAGGCTGCATCAAATAAAAAAAATAAAGAAAGAAAGAAAGTAAGGTTTCCCACATCCAGTGTTCCCTCTAAGCTGAGTGAGTGTGAGCTAGCTCACAGTTTTGTAGCTTCCGGCTCACACTTTTTTGTCTCCGCTCAGGCAGGATGGCTCCAGAGCAGACTAACTTATGCAGCAGCCAAATCGTTTGCTCACAACTTTAATGCCAGTGGCTCACAGAGTAGAATTTTTGCTCACAAGACTCCACAGCTTAGAGGGAACATTGCGCCACATCAAAAAACTGCACATGGAAAAGAACATAAGAACACATGAGAAGCCAGTGGCCAAAACCCGGGTGCCATCAGGAGGTCCACCAGCAGGGCCAGAACTCCAGAAGCCCTCCCACTGTTGCTCTCCAAGCACTACACATGGTTAGAATATGAAGGAACATTGTCCCCTTTTAGAAATTTGCTCCCGCATTTCACCATCTTGGGGATTTCTCCATTTTCCATCCGTCTTCTGGGGTTTCGGAAGGTACTGTGTTAAGTGTACGTTTGCAACCATGAGGACTAGAAACTTTTAAAAACTTTTAAAAACATTTTAATCTGTTTCCCTGAGTTTGGGCCAGGGCCCTGTGGGATCTGATGCAATTCTGCAGGGCCTGCAAGGCAGAGATATTCCGCTAGGCTTTTGGTTGAGTATGAGCCATCTGATTGTTGAAATGTTTTATTCAGGTTCTAACTGATTTTATCTTGTTTTGTTTTATGGCTTTTGTACACCGCCCAGACCCCTGCTGTGGCAGGGATTGGGCGATTCATAAATGTTGTTGTTGTTTAGTTGTTGTGGATTTTCCGGGCTGTATGGCCGTGGTCTTGGCATTGTAGGACCTGAAGTTTCGCCAGCAGCTGTGACTGACATCCTCAGAGGTATAACACAGAAAGATGGAGTACCCTCTGTGTCAATGTGAGAAGAGCACTACAGATAAGATTAGAATTTCAACAGCCAATCTGTATGCAAAAGAACCTCCTCAGAAAAGCTCCTCCATCAGCATGTCATAGCCTGGGGAACTCTTACAAGATAATGACTCAGCCCTACCCCAACTTCCTGAGTAGATATAAATTACCTGCCTACCGTTTTTCTTCTCACCTTGACACAGAGAGTACTCCATCTTTCTGTGTTATACCTCTGAGGATGCCAGAGGTATGCCAAGACCACGGGCATACAGCCCGGAAAATCTACAACAACTAATGAAATCCGGCCTTGAAAGCCTTTGACAACATGTTGTTGTTGTTGTTGATGATGATGATGATGATGATACACATTCCTCCACCAGCAGCTCCTTATAAACCAACAGGACATTTCCCCCCAAGAATATAATCTTTCTTGTTGTTGTTCAGTCACACAGTCGAGTCCGACTCTTCACGACCCCATGGACCAGATCACACCAGGCCTTCCTGTCTTCCGCAGTCCTCTGAAGTTGGCTCAACTTCATGTTCGTTGCATCTGTGACACTGTCAAACCATCTCATCCTTTGCCGTCCCCGTCTTCTTTGACCTATAATCTTTCCCAGCATCAGGGTCTTCTCCAGGGAGTGCTCCCTTCTCATTTGGTGGCCAGAGTATTTGAGCTTCAGTTTCATTATCTGGCCTTCCAAGGAACAGCCAGGGTTGATTTCTTTTAGGATTGACTGATTTGATCTCCTGGCAGCCCAAGGGACTCTCAAGAGTCTTCTTTCTTATATTGGTTGAAATCTCTTTTCAGGTGTCCATGAAAACGCTTTCCTTCGGACTCTAGAGGGCGCCGCTGCAGCATCGCATTACAGCCGTCTCTTTTTCCCGGAGGCAGAAAAGGCTATTTGCAGAGCCGAAGCGGGTGCTCTGCCTCTATTGCTCCATCGCCCGCCCCCTTTCAGGATTTGTGCAAGGATCGGTGGGCTTCTTTCCCAGCGGAAGGGTTAACCCTACAGAAACCCTGCTTCCTAGAGGGGCCAAGCGAAGCTGAAAAGGGGTGTGTTAAAAATATAATAATAATACACTTTCCCTGCTGGAGTTGGGGTTTGAATTTCTGCAGAAAGGGAGGACGAAGAAGAGGAGGAGGGAAGGAGAAGAGAGCCCCTGGCCTAGGAAGGGGGCAGAGGCTGAGGTGAGCGTGGAGGGAGAGGGGGCAAGTGACAGAGGCTTGCGGGGGTGGGGGGACCAGGGAGAACCCCCTCCTCCTTTTGCGTATGCGCGGGATCTCTCTCTGGGCTGCTACTCCCAGCAGAGTCTGCTCTGTGAATTGAACAGGCAGAGGCATGGAGATGGGTTTTTTTTTTTGCCAAGGTTTCCCTTCTGTAAAGGCATAGGGCATCCGGGCAGCTTCTGCTCGGACGAGGGAGGGCTTTTCAACCCAATGGGATCCAGGCGGAGCCCTCTGCGGCTGAGTTGCAACGCTGGGGTTTAAAAGAAAGGGATATGTGTTGCCTGGAAGTACGCGGCTCACGTGGGGATCCTGTGTTCTATTCCACACGCGCGTACGTGCACACAAAAACGTTTTATTTATTTATACCTACATGCATACCTGCTCCTGCCAACCTAGCAGTTCGAAAGCAAGGAATTGCAAGTAGATAAATAGGGACCACTTCGGTGGGAAGGTCACAGCGTTCCGTGCGCCTTGGTGTTTAGTCATGCCGGCCACATGACCACGGAAACGTCTTCGGACAGCGCTGGCTCTTCGGCTTTGAAACGGAGATGAGCACCGCAACCCTAGAGTCGGAGTTTACATTGTTCTCCCTCCCTCCCTCCCTCCCTCCCTCCCTCCCTCCACTAGAAACCACAACATTCAAAAAACAGGGGGGGGGAGGACATTTTAACCCTCCAGGACATTCAGTTGCTGACCTAAGAGTAGCAGTTCTCTTAACTAGGAATTTCAGTGGGAGATTGGAGAGACTGCTGAATTGCAAGTGGCAGTGAAACTCAAGACAGTGCAACCACCTGGACTGAATCGAGACCTAGGATTCCTGTTTCAGTACCAATGCTGGTGGCTCAAGTGGTTAAGACGCTGAACTGCAGGCTGTGGAAGGTCAATAGTTCAGCAGTTTGAGACCCGGGTGCCGCATGACGGAGTGAGCTCCCATCTCTAGTTCCAGCTCCTGCCAATCTAGCAGTTCGAAAGCAAGAAATTGCAAGTAGATAAATAGGTACCACTTCGGTGGGAAGGTAACAGCGTTCCGTGCGCCTTGGTGTTTAGTCATGCCGGCCACATGACCACGGAAACGTCTTTGGACAGCGCTGGCTCTTCGGCTTTCAAATGAAGATGAGCACCGCAACCCTAGAGGATTCGACTGGCTTTCGAGCAAGGGAACCTTTACCTTACTACCCTTCTGCATATCACACCTCATCTAATCACGCCTGCTGTTGTCATTTGCCTGCTAATGTCTTTTGGCATCTGAAATCACTCCACTTTCCAATATATAGGGCAGATGGACTCACGTTATAGCTGTATCTAAAGAAGTTAACAGCGACTCACGAAAGGTCATACCCTGCCACAAATGTTGTTAGTTTTTAAGGTGATACTGGACCCTTGATCTTTTCTACTGCTCCGCCCTGCATTTTATCTACACAACAACCCTGTGAAGTAGATTAGCCTGAGAGTGTTTCATTGACCCATGGTCACCAAGCAAGCTTCCATGGCAGTGTGGGGATTAAAACCCAGGTCTCCTGGATCCCAGCTTGATGCATTAACCACACTACACCACACTAGGTCTCAGTCTATGAAACATTTATGTATGAAACAGGACTGCATAAAAGAAAAACAATGATCAAAACTGTCTTTAACCTTTCCAAAACACAGGAAGGCGTATGAAATGATGAAGAATGAGGGTCCTCCGAGCATGTGCAGAGTGCATTTTCACGGCCAGTGTGTGTTCATAACCGTGCTTCAGAAGATTTATTTTTTGAAGAGGAGACCAGCCTCGAGGAACGTAAGCTTGACAAGACGGAGGGGATTTGTGGCGCTGCCTTTTGGCATGTTCAGTTTTCTCAAAAAGTGGAGATTGGTATACATGGTGTGCTGTAGAGTAATATTGGATGAAAGTGGATGGGATATTTTAATGAGGCAGAAGGGCTGAACATAGTTTGGTGGCCTGATGATAAAGGTGTCAGAGAATTGTTAGATTTTTCTTTATTTTAAAATATAGTTTTTATTTTAGAAAACAATAGTAAAAGGGATACAAAAGAAAGGAAGGGATTATATAACAAAACGGGATTATATAACAAGCCATATATATCAAAGATTATTATACATTGCAGAGTATATTAAACAAAAAATAAAAATAATTACCCTTCATCACAATTTTTGGGACATTTTCTATAGAGTACAATGGCCCTTACTTCAGACATTTTAAATTTCAGATTTTAGAATTGATCTGTTTTGCAACTATTTTGTTAATTTCATCATCACTGCATATTCTGTATTGCATATTTCTGTACCACATATTCTACATTGTATATTTAATCATTTCTCCTTACTAGCTATAACTGTTAATATAGCAGGGTTTAAGGAAAAATCCATTATATATCTCACAATAAAGAAATATTAATATTTTATTCCAACTCCAGTTCCTTATACATTTATAATCAGAACTTGTTCTAAGTCCGCATCTTATAGTAGCTTCATTTCCGTTGCAATACATTTATATACAGTTTTTAAACTGTTCCTAGAGAATTGTTAGATTTTCAGAGTATAAGTTTTCAAGAGTATCTGGCAAAGGAACATTGACTCTTGAAAGCTTATACCCAAAAATCTGGAGAACCGGGTTTGATTCCCCACTCCTCCACATGCAGCCAGCTGGGTGACCTTGGGCCAGTCACAGTTCTCTCAGAGCTGTTCTCTCAAGAGTAGTTCTTGAAAGAGCTCTCTCAGCCCCGCCTGAGAGCTCTGAGAGAACTGCCCTTTCAAGGACAGCTCTTGTCGGAACTATGGCTTGCCCAAGGTCATCCAGCAGCTGCAAGTGAAGGAGTGGGGAATCAAACCCGGTTCTCCCAGATTAGAGTCCGCGCACTTAACCACTACACCAAACTGGGAAATGCTGAGGTAGATAAATTGATCAGTCGAATCAGTAGAAAGCACTGACAGTCAACATGGCTTAGTGGTTAAGAGTGCTGGACCAGGATCTAGAAGAACCAGGTGCAGATCCCCACTCTGCCTTGGAATCTTGCTGGGAGACCTTGGACCGGTCACACACTCTCTGCCTAACCTGCCTCAGAGGGTTGTTGCGAGTACAAAACAGAGGAGAACAATGCAAGCTGCTTTGCATCCCCATTGGAGAGAGAGGCAGGGTATAAACAAAGTAAGTAAGTAAATAAATATATGTCAGAGCCCCAGGGTGGGGTAGTGGCTAGAATGTCAGACTAGGATCTGGGAGCCCCAGGTTCAGATCCCCACTCTGACATGAAGCTTGCTGGGCGACCTTGGGCCAGTCACTCTCTCTTTGGAACATGTGAAACTGCACCCTGACCTAGATGGCTGAGGCTAGCCCGATACCATCAGATCTCGGAAGCTAAGCAGGGTCAGCCCTGGCTAGTATTTGGATGGGTGGCCTCCAAGGAATACCAGGGGCATGACGCAGAGGCAGGCAATAGCAAGCCACCCCTGAAACATCTCTTGCCTTATAAAAACAAGTCTAGCTCGTCACCTAGTAGTGCATAACGCTAAAAGAGCTAGAACTTCTGGCTGCCAGACCATCTTAGGATCTCCTGGCTATTCTACACACAGTGCCATATGGTAATTAATTAATTAGCTTGGAGTAGGGATTAAGAGGTTAATTCTACAGCTCTGCAGAAAAATAGATTTATTTTTTTAGGGAGAACGCGTAAGCGGAAACCATGACCTGTTGGCAGATTATATCGATTTGTTTTTGTCCTGAAAGCATCATAAAGTGATAAGGAATGCTTTATTTATGGGCGCACCTCTTATAACTCTTCAGCCGTGCAATCAGAGAAATACCAAAAGTGGTTTCAGGCAGTATGGTTTCCTATTATTAGTTATTTAGAAAATAGTGAAACAGTTCCAAAAAACCCACTATACAAGAAGCTGTTGTTCATTAACTGTTTGGTACTTAGTCTATAGAAGCTGTGGTGGCTCAAGTGGTTAAGATGCTGAACTGCAGGCTGTGGAAGGTTGGTAGTTCAGCAGTTCAAGACCCTAGTATGCTGCATGACGGAGTGAGCTCCCGTCTCTAGTTCCAGCTCCTGCCAGCCTAGCAGTTCGAAAGCAAGAAATTGCAAGTAGATAAATAGGTACCACTTCGGGGGGAAAGGTAACAGCGTTCCGTGCGCCTTGGTGTTTAGTCATGCCGGCCACATGACCACGGAAACGTCTTCGGACAGCGCTGGCTCTTCGGCTTTGAAACGGAGATGAGCACCGCAACCCTGGAGTCGGATTCGACTGGCTTTCGAGCAAGGGAACCTTTACCTTTACCTTTACTTTACTCAGTCTATACAAATGTTTGACTTTACTGTGATACTGTGGGAGTTTTGTAAGAAAAGCTGTTTAATTGAGCCGGTAATTGCTCATTGTGTCTCATTCTGTTGTGCTTACGCTGTTAAGAATGAATAAAAACAAATATTAAAAAAGGGGGGTGGGAAAGAAACTGTCACAGCGACTGAATTTCCGCCTCTCTCATGAACAGTACTTATTCTGAACGGGCGGTGGTCTATTTCCATTCGTTCCCATCCTAAATTTCTTTTCTCAGGGAGAAGCCCACTGAGCCAGCGTAGAACACCTCCAGGACCCTCCAGGATACTTCCCTGTTTCATTTTAGAACTTTCAGGGATCGTAGATTTGGAAGGAGCTTGGTCTTTGCTCCATGCAGCAGTTTCTCCATGCTGAGAAACTACTGCCGTGGGATCAGGCGGGGATGAAAATGGAGGAGCAAGAGGCAGCAGGCCCCAAAGCAGGGGAAAGATCGCAGAGGGCAGACAAGGCCTCTTGTGACATCCCAGCAGAGAGAAAATGCCCGCAGAGGATGCCGGCATGGCATAAGGTTAAACAGGAACCGGGCGAGGGGCTTGTCCATCATTGGGAGACCCAGTGGCAGGACTTCCTGAAGACCATGGAGGGCCCTCACTCCGGATGGGCCATCCCCCAGTTGCCAGAAGAGCCCGTCACTCCATGGGACGACGCCAAGGCCTTTCTGGCCTCCTTCGAGCAAGTGGCCAAAGCCTGCCGCTGGCCCAGAGAAGAGTGGGTGACCCGACTCCTGCCGGCCCTCAGTGGGGAAGCGGAGCAGGCCTTTAGCCAGCTGGATGTCAGAGACAGAGAGGATTATGGGAAGGTGAAGGCGGCCATCTTGCGAGGGGACGCTATCGGCAGGGAGAAGCGGCGCCAACACTTCCGACGTTTCTGCTACCAGGAGGCCGATGGACCGAGGGGGGCTCACAGCCGACTCCAGGAGCTCTGTCGTGGGTGGCTGAAAGTCGAGAGGCACACCAAGGAGCAGATCCTGGAGCTGCTGATCCTGGAGCAGTTCCTGGCCGTCCTGCCCCCGGAGATCCAGAACTCAGTCAGGGAAGTTGGGCCGGAGACCTGCTCCCAGGCAGTGGCCCTGGCAGAGGATTTCCTGCAGATGCAAAGAGAAGCGGAGCGGGTATCGAACCAGGTGAGATGCATTCATAGCTTGCCAGTGTGGTGTAGTGGCTGGACTGGGATCTGGGAGACCTGGGTTCAAGTCCCCACTCTGCTGGGTCAGTCACTCTCAGCCTAACCCTAGGGTTGCCATGTCCCTCCTGGCAACCAGCAGGGGCGGGGCGGGGCTTACCCAGAGCAGGAGGGAGGCCCGGCTGATGTTTCAGCGACGTGCCCACCTCACTTCCAGTGTGACCCGGAAGTGATGTAGGCAGAGGATAGGACCCAAAGCAATGGGTTTAAATTACATGCAGAAAGGTATCGGCTGGATATTAGGGAAAACTTTTTCGTGGTTCAGAGGTGGAATCAGCTGCCTAGGGAGGTGGTGAGCTCCCCTTCACTGACAGCTTTCAAGAAGAGTCTGGATGAATATTTGTCAGAGATGCTGTAGGCTGGTCCTGCATTGGGCAGGGGGTTGGACTACATGGTCTGTATGGCCCCTTCCAACTCTATGGTTCTATGACATTACATCCCCGCTAAGCTCCCCCCCCCCCCCCGTCTCTTGGTATTTTCCAAGCTGGAGTTGGCAACCCTACCCCTCTCTGCTGTTGCAGGTGTCATTTGAGGAGGCGGCTGTGAACTTCTCTGAGGCTGGCCAGGCGCCGTTTGAGATGGAGAAGAGGCAGCCCTGCGCGGAGGCCAAACTGGCTGAGGACAGAAGTGCCAGGCTCGCGGGTAAGCAAGGATTTATTTTGCCTCGCGTCGTGCTCTGAAACTCCCGTGCTGATTCTTGCTCTCTTTCCCCTCTGGACTTCCAGACAAGGGAAATGGCTTAGTGGGAGATCACCTGCTCTGTATGCAAAAGAGTCCCTGGCTCATTGAGAGACAGCATGGTGTAATGCTTAAGAGTGATGGACTCTAATCTGGAGAACCGGGTTCGATTCCGTACTCCTCCACATGGAACCAGCTGGGTGACTTTGGGTCAGTCACGGCTCTCAGAGCTCTGTCAGCCCCCCCCCCAAATAAGTCTAGCTCACCACCTAGTGGTGTATAATGCTAAAAGAGCTAGAACTTAGGGTTGCCAGACAATCTTAGGATCTCCTGGCTATACTGCACACAATGCCATATGATATACTATACTATGCTACTCTGGCTCATTGGCCAGCATCTCCAGTTTAAAGGATCTCTGACGCTAGACATTGGGTGAGGCCATTCTTCCGCATGAGGCCATGGAGAGGGATTGATGTTCTGGGCCTGTATAAGGCAGATTAATATGTTCTTATGTGTAAAGCAAAGTACCAGTAGCTTACGTTTTGCTCAGGAGTATATCAAGAGCCAGTGGAGTCCATACATAATCAGTGTAATACGTTCCATACAGCTGCCAGCAAAAATCAGCTTGGTTGCTGCATTCTGGACCAATGGAAGCTTCTGAACAGTGTTCAAGGGGAGTAGCAGGTAAAAAGCAATACCGCAGTCTAGCTGTGGAGCTAACAGGGCATGTTTACTCCTTAGCTTCTGCTGCACTGAACAAAGCCATCAAGCCAGGGAAGACATTTTTTGTGGACATCTCTTTACTTTTTGCTGTTTTCCTCATTTTGACTTTCACTTGTCTCTCATGGAGGGAACTGAGGTGCGTTGTGGCTTTTCTTTTCGTTGTGGACCCACTGATGGACCTCCTGATGGCACCTGGTAGTTTTGGCCACTGTGTGGCAGAGTGTTGGACTGGATGGGCCATTGGCCTGACCCAACATTGGCTTTTCTTATGTTCTTATGTTCTTGTTTCTCCAGCAGCTAAAAGGTGGATGAGCGATCATGATGAGGAGAAATGCATGCCAGGAGACTCAGAATATGCAGGACCAATGGAGGTGGTGCCTGACCGAGAGGAAGAGAACATTTCCTCAGGCAGCGAGACAGAAAATGCCCCCGAGGGTCAAGAATGGCAGAGTGAAGCTCACCCCGGAGAGGATGAATCAGGTTCTTGTGGGGATTTGGGGGAAACTGCAGGCCTACAGGGTGCCTGTTCAGGCACGAGGCAGAACACATACAGAGTCTGTGGGAAAAGCCCTGGACTCATTATGAATCAGAGAGCACACGCTGGGGGAAAGCCACAGAACAAATGCTTGATTTGTGGGAAATCTTTCTTGTACAGCTCAGATCTCATAATTCATAACGGAATCCACACTGGCGAGAGACCCTACGAATGCCCCGACTGCGGCAAGAGATTCAGCCGTGGCTCGGACCGTAACCGCCATCAGAGAATCCACACGCAAGAGAAATTGTACAAGTGCCTCGTCTGTGGGAAATGTTTCCTCTACAGCTCGGATCTCATTATCCATCAGAGAATCCACACAGGCGAGAGGCCGTATGAATGCCTGGATTGTGGGAAAAGGTTCAGTTGTAGCTCGGATCGTAACCGCCACCAACGGATTCACACGGGGGAGAAGCCGTATGTGTGCTTGGATTGCGGGAAACGATTCAGCCAGAAAGTTCACCTGAACAGGCATTGTAGGATCCACATGGGAGAGAAATCATACAAGTGCCCAGAGTATGGGGAAAGCTTCAGCGTGAGCTGAAACTTTATTGCATGTTTCAAAATAAGCACTTTTTGTTCCAAGCGTTTTGTACGTTAACTGCATTTGGTACATTTTCTAGGTTGGTTGTACTCCCCCACCCTTGGCCAAGGTAGTTATGATTTTATGCCTCTTGTTCCCTCTGCTTAGTAAAGACAGGGATAAACTGAAACTCTCCTCTGAAAAGTCTCTCTTCGTATTTAGTTGGCCGTGCTCTGCACTTTCAGGTTATGTCTTTGTGTCATTCAGGGAATGAATGTTGAGCAGATAAATTTTGAGCAGATTTCTTGGGCAGATAAAGGGAGGATTAATCATAAATTGGGGTGTGTGTGTGTGGGGGAGATATTCAGAGCAATGGACCATGCTGAATGATGAGGGAGGGAGAGGAGGGAGAGAATATTATAAGCTGGAAAAAATCTCTGTGGGAGTAGAAAGAGGAAACTCAACTGACAGAGAAAAAAAGCTGAAACTCTTCATTGTGGTAGTGGTTATGAGGACCAGAGCAAAGAAGCCATACAGGTAAGAGATGGAGAACTTGCCATTCTTATGAGGAGAACTTCTATATGAGTTCATGTCCCTTGGTGTAGTAGTTAAGAGTGGAGGACTCTAATCTGGAGAACCGAGTTTGATTCCCCACTCCTTCATTTGCAGTCAGGTGGCTGACCTTGGGTCAGTCACAGTTCTCTCCGCGCTGTTCTCTCGAGCAGTTCTCTCAGAGCTCTCTCAGCCCCACCTACCTCACAGGGTGTCTGTTGTGGGGAGAGGAAGGGAAGGAGATTGTAAGCTGCTCTAAGACTTTGAGTGAAGGGTGGGGTATAAATCCACCTCTTCTTCTCCTTCTCTCCTGGGAGGCAACTGGCCACTGTATTGGGCCTACAGAAGGAGCTTCATTGGTAGCTCAGATCTCATTTCTCCAAGAACTCCCTATTAACAGTAAGCACATAAAGTTGGGGGGAAACTTAAGCTTCATAGTTAACAAAACTCCCATGCAGGTGAAAAGCCCCGTGGGGTAAGCACCCAGCACCAGTTCCAGGTTCCTCAGAGAAATCCAGTCCAAAGAGGAGCCATATAAACACAGGTCTTGTGGGAAGGGATTCAGGTGCAGGCCACCTTGAGGTTATTGCTCGAGAAATCACCCTGGGTGAAACGATACGAATAACTGGCCTGTGAAAAGAACATCTGCTGGGGGGAAAAATCCAACTTGACTGGCATCCAAACAGGTAACTTCTCAAAAGGCAGGGAAAGGTGAGCTGAAATTTCCTTGCACTTTACGAGTACACGAAGGAGCGGGAAATGTGTAGAAAATGTTGGATGCAACTTGGAGTGTGGCAAGAGGAAAAAGACAAGTTTGGAAGAAGTTTGTTTCCCAGGAGCAGTTGGAGACTGTGCGAAAAACCTCTTTTCTTTGTTGATCTCTGTAGTTTTGAATATGCCATCTTTACCAGTTTTGTTGTTATGCTGTTTTTGCTAAAGCATTCATTTGTATCTTTTGGTTTGTTCTGGTCAGAAACTAGTATTTTGCAAGAGAGTTACTTGGGGGAGGGGGCTCCCCTAGCCTTCCTCAAGATATCAACACACACCATCCCACCTCCCTTCTTCTAACTCCTTTTACTCCCAACCATGTAAGAGGGAGAACCATATTTTCTTCACATAGGGTTTCCAGACTGTGCTTGGCAACCGGTGGGAGCTTGGAGGGCAGAGACATAAGGGAGGGCACATAGTGTTGCATGCACCGTGATGTCACTTCTGGGGGAAACACCAGGGAAAACCATAGAGTTTTCAGTACTTCCTAGAGCTACTCATGAAGATAGTGCTGGAGGCTAGCCATGTTAGTCTGCAGCAGAAAAGCTAGATTTCAGTCTAATAACACCTTAGAGACCAATAAGATTTTCAGGGTATTAGTTTTCAAAAGTCAAAGCTCACTTTGTATCTTGTATTTGACGAAGGGAGCTTTGACTCTGACAATTACGGTATTGCACCAACATGGAACACAGAATAAAATATACCATAGTCATCACCCAGAATCGTTAAAAGTTTCAGATAAAACTTACAATATACTTTGTATAAGAAATTATAAATAACATTCCATGGGATTGCATGGAATTGTTTCCCTGTTGGTTTTGAGGTTGCTGAAACAGGGCTTCCGCATTGTATCCATTTAGAACATTTCTCTGCTGCCTCTTCAGTCCTGCTCAAGACAGCTTACAATGAAAAAACACAATATTAAAACACAAGCCATAGGACAGAGGCAGCATAAAAACTATCCGTGAAGCAGAGGCAGGTGGTCAATATTGTGAGATGGAGCCCCATTTGGAACACTGTGTACCATTCTGGTCACCATATCTCAAAAAGGACATGTCAGAGCTGGAAAGAGTATAGAGGAGGGCAACCAAGATGATTTGGGAGCTGGAACACCTTCCCTGTGAAGAAGAGGCTGAAGACTTTGGGACTTTTCAGTTTAGAAAAGAGATGACTAAGGGAGGACACGATACTGGTTTCTAAAATTAGGCATGGGGTGTGGAGAGAGTTAACAAAGGAAACGTTCCCCCTTCTCCCAGCTTGAGGGCATCCAAGGAAGCTGATGGGCAGTAGGTTCAGGACTGACAAAAGGAAATATTACTTTATACAGAGAGGGATTAAGATGTGGAATTCGCTGCCAGAAGATGTAGTGATGGCCACAGGAATAAACAGGTTTAAAAGAGGATTAAATAGATGCATGGAGGAGAAGTCTATCAGCAGCCACTTGCCATGGTGGCTGAGGGGAACCTCCACAATTCAGAGGCACTAATTCTCTGATTCAGGACTCTTTTTGTAGAAAAAGCCCAGCAGGAACTCATTAGCATAACAGGCCACACCCCTGACAACAGCACAGCATATTAACATATTAGGCTACACCCCCATGTTACCAGAAGTGTGGTTATCCAGCCACACCCACCTCTTGCTTCTTATTCTGGTTACCTTGTTTGTTGTCAAAACCCAGGGCCTTTTTGTGTAGTAGGAACTCCTTTGCATGTTAGGCCACACACCCCTATGAGTTTCTGCTGCTGGGTGTGGCCTATTATGCTAATGAGTTCCTGCTGGGCGTGGCCAACTTGGGAGCCAGCCGGAACTCCGTTCCTGTGCGTTCCTGCCCAAAAATAGCCCTGCTCTGATTCCCAGAGCCAGGAAGCAACGTCCCAGGAAGGCCTCAGCCTCTCTGCCCTGTTCTTGGCCGTCCAGAGGAACTGGTTGGTCACTGTGTGAGATAGGGTGCTGGAATGGATGGACTACTGGTCTGATCCAGCAGGGCTCTTCTTATGTTCTTTATGAAGGCCTTGGCCTCTGTGCCCTGTTGTTGGCTGTCCAGAAGAACTGCTTGGCCACCGGTCTGATCCAGCAGGGCTCTAAAGTTCATTAAAAATCTGATTTCCCCACGTTTTAATTTTCCCAAGCCCCTAGTAGCTGCCACTTTCCCACATCACCAAAGCTTTTTCAACTTTTTTTTTAATTGGCAATTGAATATTATTATAGTGTTCCACGCCCAGCAGGAACTCATTAGCATAATAGGCCACACCAACAGCAGGAACTCATTAGCATATTGGGCCACACCCCTGACAGCACAGCTCATTAGCACATTAGGCCGCACCCACGTTACCAGTAGTGTGGTCATCCAGCCACACCCACCTATTGCTTGTTATTCTGTTTACCTTGTCTGTTGTCAAAACCCAGGGCCTTTTTTTGTAGCAGGAACTCCTTTGCATGTCAGGCCACACACCCCTAATGTAGCCAATCCTAATGAGTTTCTGCTGTTGGGTGTGGCCTATTATGCTAATGAGTTCCTGCTGGCCGTGGCCAACTTGGGAGCCAGCCGGAACTCCGTTCCTGTGCGTTCCTGCCCAAAAATAGCCCTGGGCATAGACTGTAACAGAGGATTAGACAGATTAATGGAGGATAGGATTATCAGTGGCTACTAGCCATGGTAACTAAAGGGAACCTCCACATTCAGAGGCAGTCAGCTTCTGACTACTGGTTCCAGGAAGTAACATCAGGAGAAGGCCTCAGCCTCTGTGCCCTGATGTTGGCGCTCCATATTAAATCCTATTAACTGGCTAGCCACTGTCTGAGATAGAATGCTGGACTAGATGGACCACTGGTCTGATCCAGTAGGGGACTTCTTGTGTTCTTAATTGTGCCCCATGTGTGGGGATAGAGGGAAGGAGGGAGAGAGTAAAGTTTGTCAAGATGTCCGAATGCAACCTTGGGCTTTTACCAGCTCAATGAAAACTCCTGCCAGGCCTCAGAAGGGTAAATATATCTTCCTGACCAATTGTATATAAAGACCATTCCCCTTACCGGAGGTGGGCTTTGGGCTGTGTTTGTTTTTGTGGGGTGAAATCCATCCCACAGCTTGTGAAGCTGGCATTCAACATTTCTCCAAGGATATTTTATTTTGTTGATTTTACTTCTACCTTATTTTTATTCCCAGTGGGGTTCCAACATGCTGCCCTCCTCCATGTTATCCTCATAATGATAACCCTTTAACCTGAGGGAGTGTGACTGGCCGAAGGTCACCCGGGAAGCTTCTGTGGCTGAGTGGGGATTCAAACCTGGTTCCCCCAGACAGCGCCTCCTCTAAGCTGTGGAGTCTTGTGAGCAAAGATTCTACTTTGTGAGCTACTGGCATTAAAGTTGTGAGCGAGCGATTTGGGCACTGCATAAATTAGTTTGCTCTGGAGCCATCCCTCCTGAGCTGAGACAAAAAAGTGTGAGCCGGAGGCTAAAAAACTATGACCTAGCTCACACTAACTCAGCTTAGAGGGAACACTGTGTTGGTCATCAGACCATGAATAAAACTTATCCATCTAGAGGGAACACTGCCCCCAGATTCTAGTCCGACACACTAAGCTTGCTACCTAGAACTTAGGTGCCAAACAATGGAATGGAATAGAATAGAATCAGTTTGACAGTTGGGTAAGCCTGAAAACCAACAACGAACTCACCAGTGATTGTAGATTTTGCAAGGGAAAACCCGATTACAGACTGAACCAGATATCTATCTTTAAGGTAAAAAGGGAGGAGGGTGGGATAAAAATTCCATAAATCCCATTTATTCATTAATTTAAAATGCAGGTAAAATTTCACCCCACAGATCCTCAGGAAGGTAGTAACCATGGGTCAACGGAAGGAAAAAATGGCCCTGAGAATGAAGAAACCTATCCCTTTTTCATATGTTTCCATGTGAAAGAAGGCAAGTGAGGGCGCAGTTGGCAGCTCTCTCTCCTTGTCGTCATTCCCGCTTGCCCTCATTTGCCCTCACCCTCCCTCAGGGCCAGAGAAAGAGGGT